CGGTGTAGACAGAGCAGGATGAATGCATGACATCACCATTCTTAGCAAATGTAGCCAGTCGTGACTATCCTTTTGTTACCGTTGGTATAAGCTACGTTTTTTCGATTCATGAAGCTAAACCATCTGACCTCTGAACCTTTTGACACCGTCTACCTCTTCCTTTGCAGCCTCCAGGTCGAGCAGCCAGTGGAGAAATGCTCAATATTTTTGAGAGCTGTACGCACCCTGATCCGAACTGCCGTCCAACTGCTGAGGACCTCATAAACACACCTTGGATACAAAATGGTCTTACCACACCTTTAAGGGAGAGCGTCCTTGCCTCCTTCCGTCAACAATAACTTTGTCACCGCCTCTGTCTCCATTGTATATATGCATGAACTTGCCTCACCTACCTCCAGATCGGTTTAAAAAATTCGCCTTTTGCTGACAGAAGGCATACTTGTTCTTAAGAAAAAAGTGTGGAGAATAAGAAGGGAGAGAAACGAGTGAGACCGCTAAAACTTGTCGAGACGGCACAGTGGACTTTCGTAGACCATACGCAGATCGATCTTGGGGCCCATGAGATCTCGAATGTTCTTGTAGCCGTAACGAATCATTGTTGGCCTAGGAAAGTGATGCAGGAAACAAAAGCGGTTGTTGATTACGTCAGATGGTTGCTAGTCTTAAACACAGGAACCTTACACACGAAAATCTTCTCTTTATTCAAGCTAAGGAGAAACCAAAATCCTCCCTAAAAGGATAAAATCTGAGGGCTGTTGTCACTGATGAGTCGTTCCATCGTTTAATTAGAGCTACTAAGGCTGGAATTTGATGTAATGGAGGAGAGAAGTTCGCGCAAGCGACTGGACATCCGATCAACTCATACCGGAAAGTCGCCTTCATACTAACGATGTGGATTCAGCATTCTCCTAACAAGGTGCTTCAAAGATTGCAAAAAAAAAACGCACCGTTCAAGGGAGAGTCCCCAGGCGATAACACGGACACCTTCGGGAAGACCCATGGGACGCAGCATTTCTGGCCGAAAGATGCCCGAGTTTCCGATTTCCACCCACTTCTGCAGACCTGCATTCCAACAGAACAACATTAAAACATTGAATGTAATCTAGATTAGAATTGAGGAGAAAGGAGTTCACCAGGATGGAAGCTAAAGACCTCCATGGAGGGTTCGGTATAGGGGTTGTACGTAGGTTTGAAGCGTAGGTGATGCAATCCCAGATGGACGAAGAAGGCACGAATAACAGCTTTGAGGTGACCCAGATTCAACCCATAGTCGGCAAACACGCCCTCAACCTGATGAAACTCAGCGAGGTGCGTCGCATCCAGAGTCTCGTTGCGGAAGACGCGATCGATGCTGAAGTAGCGCTGCGGCTTAAACTCTTTCTGTGGGGAGTTGGGGACAAAATATGCACACAAAAGTGAGAACTGTAA